TATCAGAAACCCTTGGCTAGCGAAGATGGTTTCTCCCAAAAAATTTAATATTTACTCAAATAAATCCTCATTGAAAGTTGATGATAATGAAGAGAAACAAGGTAAATATTCACCTCATTTTTTTTCTCTGAATATTTATACATTTGTATTTCATCTTCCAGATCACACTGTCTACAGAACAGAAATTGATGAAATAAAACAAAAGTTGCAGATGTTCATATGTTATCACCTATGTCTTGAAAAAAATACACAATTTTACACTTGTAATATCCAGTCATTTGATTACACAAGTTCACACCTTTCATGTATTCCTGATAGTCAAACAGAAGTCAAGGGATATAAACAATGGTATTGGTAGCTGCTTGGTGTGACACTTAGTGTGTTGTGGATCATAGAAATTTGACAACACAAGAACTGGCTTTTTATTCTTGCAAATGCATATTTTTCTAGATTCCCTTACAAAATATTCCAGGCAAGGAAAAGGTGGACTTCAGGTGGACAACTAAGGTGTATTTCGCCTGAAGTCAGCAGTCCTTGAAGAGTTAACCTAGGCAAAATACAAGTTGACTTTAGATGGAGTCCAGCTGGAATTTAAGCGGAAATTTAGGCGAAATATGTAAATTAGTCTGCCTAAGGATTCCGCTTAAAGATTCCGCCTAAAAATCCTGCTAAATTTTAGACAGAATACGGCATAATGCTTAGGTGCACATTAAGCGGAATGCTTAGGCGTACATTAAAGGTGCTTAGAGACAGATTTGAAGTTAATATTTACTCAAATTTTCTTTGTAATTTCATGACTTATATGTTGCTATAGCATTTCATAGGAAAATTTGAAAAAAATCTTATTTTATCTGGAAGTTATTGAAACTTCGAATTTCTGGACGCGTTTGATAGACACGTCCTTGCACTTTCACAAATTTTAACTTTATCCTTATTACTTTAGAAAAGTAGCAATTTTGTTGTGTATTAATGAATAATATTACATCTATAATGCAGAAATTTCAGAGTAGAAATGTAGAAAGCAAAATCCTCTCACCAGTATTGTCAGTCCGTGCTCAGTGCATGGTGTTGCAGAGTTTAACAACTGAACACATCCGGTGAAACGTAAACATTAACAACAGAGCTCGTGCCCTGTTTACAAAAACAGTTTACGTTTCACGGGTGTATTCAATGTACACAACTACACAACACTGAGCACGGGCTGACAATACTTAAGTGAGTGGGTTTTGCTTTTGCACATTTTTACTCTGAATTTTCTGGATTATAGATGCAATATTATTCATTAATACACAACAAAATTGCTACTTTTCTTAAGTATTAAGGATAAAGTTAAAAATTGTGAAAGTGCAAGGATGTGTTAATCAAACGCCTCCCGAAATTCGTAGTTTCAATAATTTCCAGATTAGATAAGTTTTTAATTTTATTTTCGTGTGAAATGCTATAGCAACATATAAGTTGTGATATTATACAGAAAATTTGAGAAAATATAAACTTCAAATCTGTCTCTGTGCACCTTTAAGCGGAATATGCAAATTAACTCCGTCTTTCAATTTTGACATTTTCCCAAAATAAAGACATAAACAAACTCATTGTAGCAAAGAAATTATTACATTTAATTTAAAAAAGTTAAATTCTAAAAAATTAAATCTGAAATTTAACACACTTTATGTTGGAAAGAAACCAGAAGAAGTCTGAATAAATGTACAAAGTTTATTAATCTACACTACAACATTCCAGAACACATCTATTAAACATATACAATAAAATGTAACACAAAATACACGTTACTTTGGCATCAGTAGGGGCAGACTCGGCCATTAATTCCAATAGCTAACAACCAGTTCAAGACAGCAGTCCAGTCGCAGGAGCCGGAAGAAAGGTACAGCTCAATTGTACCAGTCAACTCGGTGTAACTAGTGAGTCTTGAGACTAGCCCTACTTCCAGTGGATCTCAACTCGGTGTAGCAGCTGTGGAAGGCTGTGAGAAACCAGTTCCGGGCTACAAGAGCCGGAAGAGAACCATGGAAGGATGTTGATACCTTATTAACTCGGTGTAACTTCCTATGCAGTATTAGCATATTAAGAAATCGTCGTGTTGCGTTGGATATCTACATGGGGAAGTCACAAGAGCCGGAAAATAAGATATTATTGTCAAAATAAAACAGAATTTTGGGGGAAAATTTAATTAATTGTTACAGCATTCGTAAAATTTATTAAATGGTGGCCAAAAGTCAGTTGAATAGATATAAATGTAAATACTTATGTACATTATAGATATGAGACTGAGTGCCCCAAAATGATGCCAAATTGTGTATGATAAACCAGTAATATATATAAGGCTAACATTATAACATCTATAGGTAAAGTTACAAGCTTAATTGTTTTTACAAGTCTGTAGTGAGATGGGAAGTAGTGTGATCAGCCTATGAATCTACAGTACTAAGGAACGCTGAGCATCTCGTAACACAGATACTGGAGTTCTAATATATCTACAATAGGCATCGGAGGCCCATCTTCCTAATGTTTTAATAATATGGTCCTCCACATGGACAGAAGCTGCAGTCGTAGCCGCACCGATTCGGAAAGAATGTCCATTATACATATCCGCATCACAACCAATACAAGTTAACACATGCTTAAAAGCTGAAATAAATTCAACTCTTGTCAAAGGAGCACCATTTTGATTTACAAACAATGGACTTTGTGGAGAACATGACAATTTGCACCTTGCCTTTAAATATTTACAACAAACAGCGAAAGGACAAATAATATTGTCTGTAGAAAACAGTTTAATGATGACTCCTTTCCTGAATGGGTCAGTTTTAGAAATTTTGAGTTGTAAATGTACATAATCCTCAAAGATAGATAAATCACTTATACAAAGATATATAGAAGGATCAAATACTTCTTTACATGTAAATTCTCCACATCTCAAAAAGCCAAAAAATGCAACGGTACATACAGTTTCTAACATCAAATTGTAAAAATTGTCTATCTTTCTTAAATAAAGACAAGCCCTTTTCAAAATGTCGAACGTGACTGGATACCTTAAACTGCGAGATGGTGATTGTACACGTTTAACACCATTCATAATAGCCTTAAGTTTACATAACTGAGTATTGTCAGGATATGCAATGTTATCTTGCAAACACATAAATTTAACTCCACACAAATACAACTTGAAAGTTGAGTAGCTTATCTGAAGTTTGCTAACACAGTATGCTACGAATGAAATTAAGTAATCTTCAGATACAGGAACCTCAGAAATACATGCATTTGTAATAATATTTGACAACAAAAGGAATTTTACATATACATGAAAGGCTGTTTGGTATGTGCACCTAGTGCTTGGTGCCACTGCATTGGTCCATAACATGTTCACGGTGTCGTTGAGATCCATAACACTTCCCTTGGATGAGGAACACTGCATGGTTGATCTTGTGCTTGAGGAGCGAGGCTGCGGAATTTGGAAATCTGTAGCTGGACCCTGCGTTGCCGGTTGTTGACGAATTGCCGCCATTGCTGTGTCCAATGAGTGGTCATCTGTTTTGCTGTTCTTCTTTTCGGCCACCAAACTCATGACTGTGTTTTGAAGCCCGAGTACTGTCTGTTGCATGCTCTGCATGGTGTTCAGCATGCTGCAGACTATGTCACTGTTCGAGGAGGCCGCCATATTGGATAAATTGGCTCTCGATCCCGATGCAACATTGGTTGATGCGCTAGATCTCGATCCTTCCCCCGATGGTGTTTCGCTTGAAATTGTTGCTCTGGTTGTTTCAATTCTGTTAGTATTCTCTGGAGTTGGTTCCGTACTCGGAGGCACAATCACGGCATTTGCGACGTCCTCTTCCCTCGATTCAACGCTTATCCGGGCATCTGCGTTCGCGGGGGGTATTCCTCGATTCTCCAGATATAGTTTCTTCATTACGACTTTCCCAATGTTGGCAGGGACACGAATACCCAGCTTAGCCAGTTCCTCGATATATCGTTGGGTTGTCCAATTGTTTGTGTTGCTCTCATCCCAGCGATTAGATGGGGTAGGACGTCTACGACTTCGAGCACGGTCAGCCATGATTTGAAACTTGATCCTCAGAGTCCGAAATGTACAGTGTCCACAATCTTATTGATTTGTAACTGTTTCACGATCACAAATTCACAAAAAACACATATCACGACATCTTGGTAGCGTACGGTGATTATTAGGTATAATAATTGAAAGTCCGTGAAACGGGCCAAATAATTTACGATACAATTTTCTTTACAAACTTAGCGCACTGCTTGTAGCTGAATCCCCACTATAAAAAACAACCAATCAAATTGTAGCAACATAATATTAGAAACAATAATGGCGGATAGGTCAAATCCGAATAAACCCGTCTTTCCAACATAAACCTGGCTTATAATACCATAAGCCTCCATTTAAATGTACAAGTTGTCCAATTACTATATTGTACATCAGTCTTGATTTTATCAAATCTTAGCAATAAATTTTGTGATGTCCAACAATCAAATAATACCAGTTCATAATAATCAAATTTCCAAAGTTAAACATAAATATCCATTTAATCAGCTGTCGACTTGTCTGATGTTACTGGTTTTTTCTTTCATTTTTTTCCTGGCATATGAAATCTGCTCAGTTACAGCATCATTCTAATGCAATTGTTTTGTAAAATGAATTTTGAATGGCTATTGCAATGATGTTTGAGGCAGTTAAACGAGCATTAACAAGAGTGAAAGCTTTTGATCATGACGTCATGATAGAGCGACGAAAAAACACAACACTCCGTGACGTATTTCATATAACGAAACTCAACAAAAGAAGACGTTAACATCAAACAAAAGGCATAAATTGCATTAGAAGGGGAATAACTATCTTCTCAATTGTTATTTGCGACTGTTAATGCTGATTTAACGGTGGCAAACATCCGTTTTACCAGCTCCACTGACGCGTCGCTGGTAAAACTCAGTTTGCGACCGTTAAATCAGCATTAACGGTCGCAAATAACAATTGAGAAGATAGTTATTCCTTAATTTGTCTCCTTCTCTCCATATTTTCCACCATTCTTCTCACACCAGATTGCTACATATTCTGAATTAGAAGGTATATATACTGTGGAGCCATGTGTCTCTGATAGGCATACATTATGTTATGGCATTGTCATGTTGATATAAATAATAATACTTGTAGTAATCATTTATGCAAACGGTTGATCGTTTTCTGTGATCAGCTGATTTAGTAATATTTTGTGTTGTTATACGACCCCTAAATTAACATGTGCTCGATGTTTGTAAATAACGTGGTATATATGAATGTTCATGACTTGATGCATTGTTGTTTATAACATATTTACATTGCATAAACTTCTTTTATCACAGTGTTACAGGGATATTGTTAAACGTTACTGACATGTCATGTAAATAACAAAGTTTTCATGTTCTATTTACCTTCGTCACATGTGAACTGCCATTTTACCGGAACTGATTGTATGGCGCGCTAGAGTTGTAATTTATGCATTTGACCTTAGGTCACTGTCTATTTTCGTCTGGCGGTCTTTTTGAATGTATATTGCCATTTCTTCCGGGTTGTGACATTTATTTGAGTGACGAAGATTCTTTGTAGTAAAATGTTTACAGTTATGTTACTTTATGTATAATTAAAGTTGTATTAATTATTTTATATGGAAGCACCGATAGTGTCTCTGGTGGTTTCCAACCTTGCGCGTGTGTTACCCCGGTGGATTGAGAAGTCTATATAAACAGCCGGTAGACTTTCTCCGGCACTTTTTCCAGCTTTACTTTTGGCATATACACGTTACCAAAATCACGGAAGTAAGTGTAAGGAAATAGAAGGTTATTCCTTCTGCCTTTGGATAAACGGTAATCTAATTAACGGGTTAATCCCTTAATTAATCACCTAATTAGTGCAAATTAACGAATTTCGCAGTTTTTATAGAAAAAGGACTAGGAATTAGCGTATTTAATTAATGGGTTAATCCCTTAATTAATTACCATCTGAATTTTAATAGGAATAGAACTAGGAACAACTTTATTTTCATAAAAGTCAACTAATATTATTATCTAAGATTATTTAGAGATTATTTCTCTGAATTCTGGACTTCGTTGATCATTATTGAGATCTCTTGATTATTTTAAGAGACTTAATATAATTCTTCAGGCATAAGAGTTTAATTTCACATATATATATATATATATATATATATATATATATATCAAGGGTTATTCCCAGGATATATACTTCGGATAAAGTGATCCCCCTATTCCTATAATTTGGAATTATAAAATAGAGCCAAGGTTGTATTGATGTTGTAGTGTACGTATAACAAAGTGAATCTTTGTGTGTTGTATTGACATATGGTGTGTATTTATGTCATTGAGATGGTTATATATGAACAATAAACCTGTAAACTGAAAAGTCTGTTTATTTAAGCTGGAAAGTCAGTCTGGTTATTCTGGACTTAAAACAAATCCTGACAAGAGTAAATAAAGAAAACATCCTGACATCCTATTTTAGTAAATTTTCATAATAAGCTCTACCCCTGGAGAGCGTCACAATACATTAATTTGCCAATTAAATATTTGTGTACCTCAGTCAACTGTTCATATTCATTTGGTGTCAAAATCTTTGACTGAATTGCTGTTAACCATAAAATAGTGGCATGAGCACTTATTTAATACCTTTTAAAACAGTCATCTTTGTGGAATCAAGAGTTGGTCTTGTGTCTCCATCTTTTGATTTTATCCCTTGTCCTCTACTGAGGGCCACCTCCTCACATGAAAAAATTGCAGGAAGGAGTTTCGCAGTCAAAGTGAAGGCCATTTTTGAATGAGCCTTCCTTGCTGCACTTTTTGCTTTCCTCAGTGCCTCCCTCTTAACTGTCAAAGGATGGTTTGAAAGAAGCCTTGTCATCTAAAATTACAACAAAATTTTAATTTTAGAGATTAACTCTGCTATATACATGTATTTACACATAAGAAAAATTAAACTTCTTCAAAACAATATATATCTATTAAATGACACTGATTTTCTTCTGAGAATGCAAATTTTATTAAAATATTTCTTACATACATGTATGCTGAAAACAGAATTAACAAATTCAGACTTCATTAACTTTCAGACTGTAATAATTTATAGTAGAGCTGGGCAATAATATTGATATTCCAATGTATTGCTGTATGATGTCAAAGAATATCATATTGCAATAAGTTTTTGTAGTACTGTACAGATATACAGGTACATGTAATATGCTTGGAGTTTCTGTATTAATAAAATATAAAGTATAAATTGTCAGAAGCATTTGCAATTGCGCAAAACATTAAGGCAAAAGCTGTTGTGTTGGTGCATTTAAATGCGTAAATGTAATTGTAAATGAAGTTAATAAAATTAGAAAATACCACTTTCAGTTTTGTTGAAAATATTGCAATACATATAAGAAATGAATTTAATTTTTGAAGATTCATGAGGTACATGAACTACAACACTTCACGCCGGCATATTTCATAAAGCGCGTTAGCACTTCATGATAAATATGCCAGCGTGAAGCGTTGTAGTTCATGTACCTCATGAATCTTCAAAAAATTAAATTCATTTCTTATATTTACATTATTTTTCTGATGAGTTGCCACAAATTACATCATTCAAATGTCATTTTTAAAGCAAAACAGTTTGCACTATAGTTTTGACATCAAGTACGGTATTATGACATAACAATGGATATATTCATGCTCATCCATGGTAGTTCATGAGAAAATGAACAGTCTTCTAATTTGCAAAGAATCTTAAGGAAAAATGTTTGGAAATGTAAATATATTGCAATACACTTAATAATATTGTAGTATATCACAATATGAAATATCTACCTAATACTCAATTCTAATATATAAACATTAACATATCCCAAGTCAAAGTGGAAGGCAGTTCTTTAGCAGTTTTTTAACCTTAACAGTTCAGTGCTTTAGCAGTTCTTAGACAGTTTACTAGCCTTCTCCTCTGTTGGTGGCAGAAGGTTTTTGTCATACTGATCATTAGGCAGTTTTCTTAGCAGTCCACAATTTAAGCAGTACTTAGCCAGTTCATTAGCAGTAACTTAGCAGTTGCTTAGCAGTTTCCTTAGCAGTATCTTAGCAGTCAATAGGAAGGTTAAGGAGAACTGCTTAAAAACTGCTTAATAACTGCTAAAGGTGTTTTCTTTTGTTTGCTCTACTTATATGGAAATGACTCTGAGTGACCTACATATAAATTTGAAAATTGATTAACTGCTTAAAAACTGGTAAAAAGAATGCTATAAGTACTATTCTTGTCTACTTATAAGAAGATAACACCACCCATATACATGATATATGAATACAAAAATGCATATAATTTATGCTATTGAAAAAATAACATCACATATGGGAATTTAACTTAGTATTGAGATTTAGATCAGGTATGAATTGTATTAAATAAGTCCTTTCATTAAGTCCATTTTCTTGCATAAACGAGTGGCAACTTTAGAGCTTGGTTAATTAATACAGTGGACTAATCTACAGATCCCTCTATCAGTATAGCTTAAATTTATCTGCAAACATTTTGAATTTATATTAAGTACTAATAATTAAAATACAAACTAGATTATACGTTTTATAGTTTAACAGTTATCCAAATGAGAGTGGGGATGACTATTATATCACAAGCCCACACACTTACCATATTTTCTGAAGCATAATACTTTACTGCCAACAAATCTTTTAAAAATTTTCCTATATCACTCAATTCCATTGTTGCTGAATGCATGTATGATCAGATTTTTATAATAATGATTTCCCATCTCATGGAATTTAATTCAGATATACACTTGTCACTAAATATTATGTTCACATCCAATCCTGGATGTGGTGATCACAGATAATTGTATTTTCCAAAGCATATATTTTACTTCTTCACTGTATGGGTATAAATATATATAATATTCCAGACCATCACAAACATCTTCACAATTTGTAATTTTGAACTGATGTGGAAAAGGCGCACAAATCTTGACTGGCTTTCCTCATTGGATACAACCCTTTAGTTTCAAGCAACCAAGGGGGACACAGCAGGTTGTTAATGTAACTAGAGGACTGGATTTGCAAGTTGATGGGATAAAGATTAGAAGCTCATATGCTCATGCTTTTTATAATATGAAGCCTCAATTTATTATAAACTATCGTATCATATTTCTAGTAAGATTTTTAGTATATATTTTTTTCTTTCTAATTTTATTTTCTGTATAAGAAACTCCTGCCTGGCCCCCAATTATTTGTGACGTTATCATCAGGAAGCATTAACAGTAACACATGGGCAGTAATGAAGGCTAGTGAAAGTTAGGACCACCAAGAGTGAAAAAGTGTTGAATTACTTCTTATAAGAAGTCGAAATGAATTAGTTGCACTTTTAGCAGTTTTGAGAAACTGCTTGTTTGACTGCTTAAGTTTGTTCAATACTGAACTGCTTACACAAATTCTTAGCAGTTTTTTAACCAGTCTGTAAGCAGTTTTAAGGAATGCTAAGACTAAGACTGTTAAGAACTGCCTAAAAACTGCCAAAAAATTGCCAGACTGCCTAATAACTGTTTATAAACTGCTAAAATAAGCAGTTCACTTTGACTTGGGATATCTGAAAAAGTTGCTAGTTGTAAATCACCACTTACAAGTCCATCAGAATCCTCGGGTGTAGAGGAGATATGCTTCCTAGGTGACCTCCTTGGTGTTCTCGGTGGGCTTACTACAGGTAAAGGTGTTGATGGCATCTTTTGTAGTGTGGTGTGCCGGGAAGGAATTGCAGGATTATGTGGTGGCATTTGTTGTGGCAACATGCGTTGCATTGGCATTTGTTCCAAAGAAATTTGAGGTGGCATCAAATGGTGTGTTGGCATCTGTTGAGTTTCAATGTCTTGAGATGGTTGTGAATTAAGGGAAATCTGTTGTGTTGGCATCTGTTGAGTGTGAATGTCGAGAGTTGGTTGTGTTTGCATCTGCTGTTCAAACGGTGGCACTGATGATATCTGCTGAGTCTAAGGAGATGGCTGTGTGTAGTTGCAGTCTTGTGTCCATGTGGCAGGTGTCATTGGTGTGTATGTTGGTATGCATGTGTAAGTTTCATCAACCTATGGGAAAAAATATTAAATTCTAAAGCTACATTAAGATATATTAATAAAAATGGTTTTATTTGTTGATTAAAAATATAGGGCTTTACCTGAGACTCTGTTTCTTGGAACTGGGAGATCACACCTCTCATGTAACTTTGTACATGTGGTCTCAACAGCAATTTAAATAATTCAAGGACATCAGCAGGTGGTCGAATGGCTTCAGAAGATGGAACTATTTAATAAGAAAATAAGGGAATATATTAAAAAAACTTTTTTTGTATGTGTTTAAGTAGGTGTGCATTATTCCTGTGTATTAATTACCTGTTGGTGACATTGTCACAGATGGCCTTTCCAGCTCTGGATTGCAGAAGGCCCAAGTTGATGTTAGAGTTGTGTTGTCAATATACATATTTTCTGTTGCAGCTGCTGACCCAAACAGGTCATTCAAAGATGAAAACATTTCTTTTGCAGTTGTCAGCTACACACTACTCTCGGCCTTCTTTTCCTGCCTCTCTTTATTTTTTAGTGTTTCTAATTCTTGTGTTTTCTTTTTACTTTTTTCTTGTCCTTTTCTTTCTTTCAGCTTTGTTTTTCTTTCCATCATCCTTTTTCTTTCCTTCATCATTTTTTTTTCTCTGTCATCTTTCTTTTCTGAGTTTTGTCGTCTTTCTTTTCATTTGCCATGTTTTTCTTTTTCTTTTTAGGGCTCATTTCATTGTCTTGTTCTTGACTCTCTTTGGCTCTTTCTGTCTGAATCCTTTCCCTTTTCCCATCTCTTTTCTGATTTTCATTCTCTTTCGCCTTTTTGAAAAATTTTGATCAATTGCTGTACACTTTCTTCTGAGCTCAAGTTCTTGCCTCTCAAAACCTTCTTCTCTGCCTTTACAGCCTCTGCGTCAAGTAGATCTTAGTTTTCTATAAAAAGACATATCTTGTCTTACTCGGTATTGAAAACATGAAAGCCTATCTGACAAGTTTCTAAAGAGACCATGCACCATCAGTGGGAGGGGGAGCAGATTTTGGAAATAAATAATCTCTCCTCAAAAAAGTGAATATAAATAATCTTTACTCAGCTGGCAAGAAAATAAATAACCTGTCCTTGACAAGTGCTACTTCCCCCTAACCATGAATTGAGTTTTGGAGGGTTTTTTTTGTTTGTTTGTTTTTGTTTGTTTTTTTGTTTTGTTTTGTTTTTTGTTTTTTTTGCTTGTCATTCTTTTTCCATTCATAAAAGTCTATGTAAACCACATGTTTTTTTTCAGTATATTTATACATTTATATTTCATCTTCCAAATACAGTTTACAGAACAAAAATGGATGAAATAAAACAAAAGTTACAGATGTTTATATGTTATCACATATTTCTTGAAAGAAATACACAATTTCACAACTGATTGTTGTTGCATTATGCTCAAAATCTTGAAATTTGGTTTTGGTTTTAAAAAATCATTCAAATAACTATCGAACTTGTTGAAGATGTGGAAGGACATTATTTCGTCAACCTACATTAACACATTTATTACCGTCCAGTGGTTTTTCGCCGCGATGTATTGTCCCTTCGGAAAGAAGATTTTGGTGTGTACATGCACTCATTGTAATAGCATATAGGATAGTCATTTGACATTTATAGTCAAGGACTTTTAATAACTGCACTTGTTTTAATTAGTCTTCAATTAATTATTAAATCTAACTATTTTATATAAACATGCCTTGTTGTTCGTCAAGTGAATACATAACGCCGATTAATGTCATTCTAGCTATGCTATGAATTAAACGGATATAGACAAGGGAGGTAAATTTTATTGTATACCGATTCTGCGAATTCAACAAACCGCGATCATGTCAGAGGAGAGAAAAACGTGAAAATTACAACCCGTGAAATTAATCCCCTATACAGTATATAGTAAGGCCATGGTCTTCTCCCCACACCAGGCTTCGGGGCCACTAACTTATAAAAATCTCAGCTCAAATCTCAACCTCAAATTTTAGATTTTTGCCTCAGGTGAGATTTTCCTAAAACACCGTGCCACCAACATTTCTGAGATTCGTCTCAAGTAAGCTGAGATTTGAGAAAAATCTTAGACTTATTTTCGTTGCTATATGCGACCTTTTTTCAAAAAATGCACTAATATGTTGATTCAATGATTGAATTTGCCTTTTATTCAGTTGTTTATGCAATATTTTCGTGTAGATCGCGATAAAAACACATCCCCCACTTCCTTCATCTTTTATTTGCTGTTTCGAGTCATTCAACAGAAAGTATTCCATTACGACATTTGCGACAATAAATGTTCATCTAACCCTATAAAATAATAACACAAAAAAATATCCAAATTTTGTTGTCTTGGTTCGTCTGTCAACATAAACACACAAAAACATACACCGAGGCGTCACTTCCGCCATTGTGACGTTACGTGTAGCAGGTAGGCGGATCACTATATTTCCCAGACCGATTAAAATAAATCATTTTGATGAAACACATTTTTCTTTCCTTTGTTATGTTAGATATCATGGTACATGGTACATCTGTATTATTTTTAATTCTCCATAGCAAAAAAAAAAAAAAAAAAAAATTATTTGAGTTATAAGGACTATTTGTATTTAGAATAAACCTGAGTGATTTTTTTTTCTAGCAGATCCATAAAAAGAAAAAAAGTTCGATAGTCGATATATATAGCTAAATTTCTCACATGCTGTAATAAATTTTGTGAGTTTTCCATAAGTGTGGATAAATGTGATAAGATGAACAGCGAACTTGAGCGGGTAACATACGTATACTTAGTTTTACAGGATCATTTATCAAGGAAATTTCTCGAGGAACTGTTTAATTGTCGGGGAATTTCAGTTCACCCCCCCCCCCCCCCCCCCACACACCCCCAGAAGAAAAACCAGCTAAAATTTGAACTAAGGGCAGGAATAGGGAAGAGGCAAACTAACACATCGCATTTTTCTATGATCTCCTGTGACAAAATGTCTTGGAAAATCTTTATTTTGTGTTATTTTTAGATAAATAATTAACAACGAATATAGCACCACTTGACAAATAATCACCATTACATTGGAAACCCAAGTCAATCTCGCATGTGCGAAACTGATTAATTTCTATTATCATATCGTAAATAAAAGTTTCACTGCGCAATGATGTTATTTTTTTTAAAACAAAGGATCATACTTTTTTGGGGGGGGGGGGGGGTCAAAATGTAAGTTGTCAATTTAAAATAAATACTGTTTGTTTAAAAAAAAATTCATGCAAGTACATTTGAATAGATGCAGTTCTTGTTGTGAATTATGTATCTCAGAATGGACATAAGACGAAATTATTCTTATAAATGCTATAACCGGTCAAGGATTTAAGTTTATGCACAATGCATTAAGAGTATAAATTCGATCCAAATTCTCAATTAAGAATTTTAAAGATTTAGTTAAGAACCAAATTAGACAGACTGCTATCATCAGTAATTAATAAATGGTGATTTACAAAATGTACATTTTATTTCCAAAGAACAGAAATATTTGTACATGAAATGTTAGAAAGATTTCTTTTAATATTTGCGTAAAATTTACACTTATAAACAGTAAAATATAACTACCGGGAAAAAACAAAGAGGGGGCCGAGGAGGTTTTGTATTTTATCTAGTCATATTTCCTTTTGATATACAAGAACATTGTGAATTACATATAATAAAAAATGTCATGCCACAAATAGCACATTAAAATATGAATTTAATTAATTATATTAATTCCTATATGAATGAAGATATAAATGTTACGTATAGCGTGCCACTGGAATAATTATATTCCTTTTATTCTTTATTTTTTATGCTTTTAGTAAAGTGCTTGATTCCATATGTGGACAATATTATAGAATAGTTTACATGTGTATAATTAAGACACCCCTCTTCACAGGAGGATCAAGTTTTGGGAGAAATGAACATTATTCTGTGACTGTATGTTAATTTCGTGTATTCATGGATTAAAATGTTCACTGTCATAACAATTGTGATTATTTTACCATAAAATAATTCTTTGAGATTTTCTCTGAGACTGGTATACATCAATCTCAAGATTTTCTGAGAAATCTCAGCTTTTTTTCTCAGCTGAGTCGGAAAAAACGTTGGTGGCACGCACGTTTGAGAAAAAATCTCAGATTTGAGAAAAAACTCAAAAGATAAGTCTGAGTTTGAGAAAATATTTGATTGGTGGCACAGTTTGGTGAGAAAAACTCAAATTTTCTGAGAAATCTCAGATTTGAGAAAATCTCAGCGTTGGTGGCCCCGAAGCCAGGTTCATTAATAGTAAGAAAATGATCTAATAAATGATAAATATTTTTAATTCCATAATTGTTTTTTGCAATCCAGCATACGGCTAGTGATAAATGATCAAATATTTTCGGTGAACTTCTCCTTCCAAAAGGGAGTCTAACCAAATAGTAAAACAAATTTTTCCACTTCACACATAACAAGGGCCAGAATCTTGGAGCTACTGGTATCAACTTAAAAGTGTCACATATGTCTGTTTTGCACATTATAGAGCTTTTGCCCAGTTAATTCTTGCTATGGCATCATCTATTCTAACATATTTCAAAGAACATTTGTCTTTGTCAATCAAGTTATTCACACTGTCAATCTCCTCACTGTCATGTGGTGAAGGTAAATCCAATATAAGACGTTTCTTCCTAGAATATTTACCCGTAGCCAAACCTAATGGGCTTACTCTGTATTTTGGAAAATTGAGTGTTTTGAAAGGTCCTTTCACAAATCCTTTCTGAACTTCTGTCTTTAAAAGTTCTTCAACAATATCCAGGCTTTCCCGAGCCAACTGTAAGTTCTGACACTCATATGAATAATCAAGACTCATATCATCACCCTTGAAAATATTGAATCCTTCACAAAGTCCACCAATTAAGTAACAAAATGCTGATCTGGATGATGATGTAATTCAAACTCTAATCTTTCTATATTTACTGGTGTTGTAGCTTTGAATTCATCCAGTTCTGGCTGTCCTAGTCACTGCGGAGCCTTTTGTTTCTTTGTTTTATCATCTGGCTGCACATTTGTGGAGCTGTTCTTTTCTGAATTTAAACTAGGGCACTTCTGTTTACCATGTGATGTTGACATTCAATTAGCACATACGTGTGCTCTTCTGCAGTACGGCACAAAACATCTGTTAAAATTGAAGTTATTACAAATCTGTCTACCTTCATGATATGCGATATTGTGATCATACTTGTCTTTCTTGTGATAATTCCGCTGATGCTTGTTGTCTTTGTCATCATGACTTTCAATACACATACTGGAAGTATGGGTAGTAGAGGAGCAGAAATTACACTTGCTAACCTCCGCACCTGCCACGACACGTTTCAGTATTTCTTCATCTCCCTTGCTCCAATTTATAAGAACATTGTTCTGCTTTAGAGCAATAGTACATTTGGCAGCAAAGAGTTTGTGGTACCGTATTTGGCTGAATATAATAC